TAAGGACCGAGGACCGCAAGGACCGGTCCCATTAACCGGTCTAAGACCGGTCTTACCAGGACCGATCCATCCCTAGTTACGAACATTAATAGCAAATCTCCCATTTCTTAATAATCTGAAACATGTTAAAATTACTATATATGATACGCCAAATTCATTGTTTAACATAAATAATAAACGTGTGAATTTTCTTATTAAAGGAGTACTGTACTTTTCTATTTTTTTTTTTTTTTTTCACAAATTATTTAACGGTAAATTTTTTTTTTTTTCTAAAACATTTAAAAAAAAAATTAAAAAAAAATTTAAAAAGAAAATTAAAAAGAAATCGAGTAAGTATATTTTTTTTTTAAAATTTGTTTATTTATAATAAATATATTATTATTTATTGTTTTTTAAATATTTTAGAATAAATTATAAAAAAGAATTATTAGCATATTAGTAACATCAGGGTACGCCTTGCTTGTTACAAGAATATTGCTATTTATTCAATAAATATATGATATTACTGTACATTTGATTTTTTTTTAAAAAAAAAAAATATAATCAGCATCAGTTGGGTAAGCCTATTCTGAAGCAAGGATTTATTTATTTCTATACTATTTCTTGGAATTTATTTTATGTCCAAAGTTATATATATTTATATATCAGTATACTTTAAATTTTTTTAAAGTTTGCTATGTCTTTTACTTTTCTTAATTATGTATTATAATTCAACAAATATTATAACTTTTATTAGTATTGCAAAGACTAAAACATAAAAATTTAACATAACTAAATTGTAAAAAAAAAAAAAGAAAATTGGCATATTGTGAATTCCAACTTCAAACGAAAATCAATTTCAGTCACAGTTTTGGTATCCAGATAAAAATTTTACTTCGTAATTATTAAAAAGAGATAAGAAATACTGAAGATAGACTTTCTATGATGTATTTCAGATAATAATATTAAATAATTGTATAATTTTAGGAAGCGAAGATTTTTTTTTTAAAAAAATAAAAATCATATTTTATATTTTTTTTTTAAAATTATATATTAATGGCTTAACGGATTTTCATATTTATTGACGGATTACACCTTTAATCATGTTTAGATAGCGAATTTTCCACGAGGTTTTAACATTATATTTTTACATCTTATTCTGAATTCGAAGATATTTCTAAAAGGCATCAAGAAAATGATTAACGATACGTTATCCTCAAGGTTAACTGGCTTTTTTGTAAATAAACTTTGATTAGTATTTATAGGGAGCAAATGAGAGAGAAGTGGGTAATTGAATAATAATTTAAAAAATTTAGTTTTTTTGTGTAACATTTTACAATTTATATCGTATGTAGCATTTGTTACAAAAAATAGTATTTAGCTTAATAACTTCATAAAAAACTCAGCAAAACAATAATAGATTAATCTTTTATAGAATTTATTTTAAATATTAACATTGACATTTTACAATAAAAAATTTTCTATCAAAAAACCACCTGCCACTTACCGAACCAAATCGATCCTCTGCACAAACCGAATAAGAAAAATTAATAATATATCGCGAAGGGATGAAGGAAAGTTTTCTAAGGTGTATATATGCAAATCTAAGAAGGACGAGCGTAGAATGTTGAGCTGTTTAAGGATTTCAGCTCGTATTTATAAAAAAAATAATTATTAGGACAGCCTAGCATCCTATATCGAAAACAATTTACATGCGAAATATGGTGTCACTGGGCGGAATTACTGTATATTTAATGTTGCAATAACGTTAAGAAACAAAAAAAATAATTAATAAACAAATATATAAATATATACAGTATATAGATTAAAATGTATAAAACTACACATTTAGCAACCCTTATCAATTTATAAATATAAAACATATTATATTGTAATAATACTGCTTTGGGGGGGGGGGTACGAGTTCGAAAACTGCAAATTCTAAAAAAATTTCCTTTTTCAAAAAAAAAATATCCTATTAGGTCGGTTGTGTAATCCTATTGAAATGACTATTTCAGAAATCTGTGGTACATGTACATGAAATACTGTAAAAGCAATTCCTCCTTTTTTTTGTCAAAAAAAAAAAAAAAAAATGGAAGAAATAAAAGGAAGCTCAAGCCAGGTAAATTAAACTTTAAAATTGTTTACATATTTATATTATTAAATAATAATAAATAGAGTGGAAGTTCTAGAAGACCTGCGCCAAAAAACTTAAACATTTCATCTAAAACGGAATCCAATTATATCCTTCTCGGTTTAGAAGAGGAAGGTTATATACCACGCCAGATGAAAAAGTAGAACAACTTATAACAAAATTAACAAAATCAAAATTTTTATATGCTTTAAAATTACTTTTTGAAAACTTACAAAATAAATTTTCATCTCAAATTTTAGTTGATTCGTTAAGAAGTTTAGCCAATCCTACACTATTTGACCATCATTCAATGGAAATTTTTACAAGATTGGAATTACACTTACGAACTTTGGTAGCAGCTTTGTAACAGATATGTTTTTCGCAGATAGTTATTGGTAAAGAAATTCGCGATAAAATTTACAATTCTTTAACAAAATTTGCGGAATTTCATCGTAAAAACATACAAGTTATTGGAGAAGGACTTGTTAGCGGCCTTAAGTCAAAGTACAATCCATCAAATCAACAAAATGACAAAGATAACAAGGGTATTGAAAAGCATAACTATAATATTGACTTTTTGTTAATTCTCTTGCGCGATACACTACATAGCCTGCGTGATGATGAAACTTGGTTTCAAGAAATTTTAAGAAGAACTAAGGAATTTTTGAAGGCTGTTTTAAATATTGCACCAGGAATTACAATTATTGTAGCACCCGGAGTTGCTCTTCCAAATGACAATTGTTCAATCTTATCAATGCTTACTCAATTACGTCAAGGTTTAAGTTTTAAATATCCAGTCGCTGCTTATTATATTTGGAGAATTATGTTGATAATTCGACATAATCTTTTAAACTGGTCTGTAAGTGATGAAAAGATAATTTGCAGAAAGTTTGGAGAAAGAATCTTAATGGAGTATTTTTGGAGTTTTATAGAGAGAGAGTGGAATAGTGTTGCTGATAAAACTATGTTAAATTCACAAACTAAATTTGATGAAGTATCAAATAAACTCTTCAAGACTTTAAGAAACACTGGAGGTTTTTTAAATGATCTTGCCGGAAATGAACCACTTGCGTTACCAAATATATTATGGTTTGGCATACTGGATCTTGCACAAAATCTCATTCAAAAATCTACTCAACCGGTTATACACGGACTATGTTATTATTTGGCAATTGAATCACTAAACAAAGCTTAAAGCAATTTCATTCAATTTAAAGCAATTGAGATATTGTTACACTTGCAAAATATAAACGAGGAATTGTTTTCAATAATAGAAATTGATTTCAATCAATACACGCTTAAATTATATGAAAACAATTCAAATAGTGAATTTCGGAAAGATTTCAATGTTTATTATCATTCGTTAAAGAAAAATTTCATCAAGACTTAATTATGTTAAATGATGATATTGGAAAAGGAAAGGAAAATGTTTATATAAGAATACATATTTTAAACAAGAGCTAATATTAAATTCCCGTAAGATATTGGATATTATCACAGATGAAATGACTTGTCCTATTAGTCTTGGGCTGGAAGATCAATTTTATCTTTTAAATGTCAACATAAGATATCATACAATACGTATAACAAATTAACACAAAAAAAATGTGAGAAAGTATTGAAAATAATGAATTCAAATACGTATCACAAAAAACTATTTACAAACATCTATATCCATGTTTAGATGATACTGAAAGTAATCCAAACTTGGATCAAACAAATAAACAACATGAGGATGATTCTGAGGACGATTCTGATAATTCAGAAGTTGATCAAATAATAATTAAAAAAATGAATCTTAAAGCAATTAAATTGAAATTAGATATATTACAATCAAAAAAAGTACGTCCGGCTTATCAGAATGTTATAAATAAATTAGCAAATAAAAATTATGAAAAAGCTATATCAATAGGTCAAGTATATTTAAGAGAGTTTCCTAATAGTTATACAATGAGATGTATTTTAGCTTATACTTGCAGATTCCTTAATTACTATGATCGGGCACTCTCATTTTTAGATGAGGCCATTAGTCTAAAACAAAACAAACCAATTGCGTATTTTATTCGTGGAGAAATTCTTTTCAGACAAGGTTTATATGATGATGCAATAAAGGTATATTAGAAAAATCAAAAAACCACAATAATAAGTCGAATATAATTATAGGTAATTGCCATCTTTTAATAGCAGAAAGAGATAATTTTGATTATTTGTATGATGAGCAAGAAATCAAAAAAAAACAAAAAAAAGTGTTATGATGCTTTAAAAAACTATGAGGTTGCATTACAAAAGGATCCGAGAAATTATTTATGTTTGAAGTATTGTGCATATATTTATGAAACTCAAGAAAAATATTCAGAAGCGTTAGAAATGTTGGATAAAATACTAATTAATCAAGATGATTCATTATTACGATGTTATTATGGAGAAATTCTTAATTATTTAGGAAGATATAATGATTCAATATCGCATATTACAAAAGCATATAATATTGATCCTGAGAATACCCATATCTTAATTAAAAAAGCTTTCACTCATTACGAACTTAAAGAATATGAAAACGCTCTATCCGATCTTAATGAATTGATGCAATTAAATTCTTCATATAAAAGTATTGCATATTTTTATAAAGGCCTAATATATTATGCACTAGGAAATAATAAAAAACTAAAATTGAAGTTGAAAAATGCGTATTATTATTCAATTATAATGATAATTTGGCAAAATTTTTGTCAAAACATTTTGATGATATAACATTCATAAACGGAAATATTTTATATAAATATTTAACGCAAGAATATTTAGATACAAAATTGTTGTCATTTTTATTACACTATTTTAAAATATTTGATACCGATTTTATTGAACTAGGAATAATTAATAAATATCATAAACTCATGTATCAAAATAAGAATAATACACACTATTACCTTTTTAAAGTATTTAGAAATATAAAATTAACATTTTGATTTTCCGATTTGTAGAAAAAAGAATCTATTTTCTTTTTATCTTGTAAATTTGAATAGAGAATTTCATCGGTTTCAAGAAATGGATTCAAATAGGTAAGCTTTTATGTATATATTTATAATTTATTTTATTTTAATACAACTAATATTTACATTAATTTAAGTTTTTCTGGCCAAGTGTTATCTTTTGAAGATGAAGTAATTCCTAACGTTTTGCCTGAACTAAATTTCTTAATGTCTATAAAAGTTATTGTTATTATTGTTTGAAATTAAATTTTAAAAAGTTATTGAATAAAGATTGTTCTGTGGAGTTTATTGTTAAAGAATTTGGTGTAAGTAATATATATGTTATATATGTTAATCTTAAAATATTTATTAATTTTTACATTGAAATCTATATTTATTTATAGATACATTCATTAAAATATAACCAGTTGTCTGCACTTATTGGATTGGGCTGGATTGAATATACACTTCCATTGTTAGATTATAAGGGGTCACAACTTTCAATTAATTTAAAGAGAGTAATTCTATAATTATGGTATGTAACCCTGAAATTTATGAGCAAGTCATGGATATCAATATTAATTAATTTTTTAATTTTAAAGCAAATAGATTATGTTCGACTGAAATTTGATAAAAGTAATGAAATCGATATTCCTAATAATCCCTTACAAATCTATAAATCTTACCCAAATATTCCAGTAATATTTAACGACAAATATTTTTCAAAGAAGGAAATGGAAAATTTGATTGAATTAAAAGACATCATTTAATTAAGTTTTTTATATACAAGTAGTAGACTAGTCTGTTTCGAACTTCTAGACTATATAAATATTTTTTAATTTCGATTTATTTATTTTACTTATGAAAATATTTAGCTTTGCTTTGTATTGAATAAAAGGTTATGTAAGTGGAAACTTTCTTATGCTTTCTGAAAGTTTGATCTAGTTTTGACAAACTTCATTAGTTATCAAAATTATTAAAACATTTACATCCATTTAAAAGCCGTTGTTATGAATGAATAACATAATCATAATCAAGATTTTTTTCATCGTCTAACATTCTATTTGACAAATCATGTTATAACTACTAAATAACGTTTAATTAAAACATTTTCACATAGATGTAAATGCAAGATCGTTTACCATAATTTTTTATTCAAAGTAATAACATTTCAGATCCAAATTATTGAAAGGACGAATTTCTAAACTTGAAGTTTCGGTAGACAACGTAATATCGAAATATAAGCCTAAAAATGTGACTCACGTATAATAATATCAATCAGACATTCCAATATTATATCAGAAATTTTCTTGTATTTTCACTTCCTCTCAATTATCCAAAAAAATTTTTACTTGCTTTTTTATTTTATTTCATAAATGTTAACAAAAATTGCTTATTCACCCTAATTAATCTCACTAACGTTAATTTCCTCTACTAAAAATGAAGATCAAAAACATGATTTCTTCATTACTTGCCAAACTTGAATACTTAAAGACGTTTTATAACGTTCGGATTCAAATATCTGTGCTGTATAACACGCTTTTTTATTAACTTTGCTTTTTTTTTTAATTTAATATAGGTGAATATCAAGGCAAGCATTTGCGTCGTAAAAATTGGTCAACATGAACTTGACGCAATAGCGTTGTTTTTGCTCTACATTACGTCATATTTATTTTTAAAATGTCGAATACTTAATAATGATTTTATTTACTTATTCCTTTTTTATTGATTAGTCCCTTTATGCACAATTAGAACAAGAACCAATTTTCCATTACATTGGAAAGTTCATGCACCTCATATATAAACGAGAAATCTTTAACATAATATATAATGGAATTTTCCATGATCAATATCAAGGTCCTTTTTAATTGTCACTCAAAGAGTAACTCATATACAAAATTTACTGTTTATACATTTTATAATAAGATATCATCAAAGTCTCTTATTTGCGGAGCGTAAACATTCTGGATCATCATTGTCTAATTTCAGTTTTTGAGTCCAAATAATTCAAAAGCGCAATTTTTGTTATATGAATTCAAATATGTTAGCAGTGTTATCAATTAATTTATAAATTTACCAAAGGAAAATAACTATGTCATAATTAACGATAAATTTCAAACTAACAATCGATATCGTCAACATAAATTTTTTTGCATTTATGTGTGCATACAACTTTAATAAAATCCTGTAAAAACTATCAGGTTTTCCAATTAAGAATTTACATTTTAATACGCTAACAGTTTTTGTATTCGACAAATTTTGTATCCGGTTTTAGACGTGCGAATAAGAAACTCGTAGTTTAAATATTAAATATATCTTAATCTTTATAACCTTTATACGCGTATTAAAGTTTTTGCCGTTGTTAAGTTTCAAAATAACGTTAAACACCTAGTATCCTAGTATTTTCAGAATAGATAACTGTTTACCTCTAGTTTTATAAACAGTTGACTACTGTTTTTTTGGATCATGAAATTCATTGCTTTGAAACACCGAAACAACAGAGAATTAATATATTTTTGCATAAAACAAAAATTCAACAAGTTTTTAAAGCTTAACCTACCAACATTAAACATCCAAACCATCCAAACTTTGTTTCGGCAGCTTTCACGGCTTCCGCAGTCTCTGCGGTTTGATTTAAGCAGTGGCACGTGTTTAATGCAAAAAATTTGTAAACGGTAGGTTTTATGCAGTATATACACTGTATATAAAATAAGAATAAATATAATATGAATACAAAATATCGAGTCGAGTCATTGACCAGACAAATTTATTGAGAAATCGATTTATAATTACTACAATTGAAATAAGTCTTTTGTGACTTTGAACTTCTTGTCGCCGTTGGTAACACAAACTTGCGAAAACCAGATAATTATCTCCGAATCTTGATATTTTATTACTTAAAAATCTCTACATAGCTAATTAACTATAATTGTTTACAAAATAAGAAAGTAAAAAATTCAAAATAAAAATTATTTTACATTTAATAATGATTAATCATCCTCTATAATGAACTTTAACTAGTAAAGGATCTTTCATTGGTAAAGTTAAAGAACGACCATAATCAGGAGGACATTTTTGTCCCGGTACCATTTCAAATTTAAATTGTCTTAATACAGCCGTCGCTAACATTATGGCTTCAACTGTGGCAAAACTTTGCCCAAGACTATCCAATTATTAATATAAACAAAAAGTTAATAAATATTTAAAAAAAAAAAAAAAAAAATCTAATTTCGGTTTATTCTACATACCATAATCTTGGTCCAGCATTAAAACTAGTGAATTTATATTGACTTGGCTTCAATCCATCTTCAGAATTTAAAAATCTTTCGGGATTAAATTGCTTTGCATCACTCCCCCATGTCCTTTCATCCCTTCCCATCGACCAGGTTGACCAATTAACCATATCACCAGCATAAATTGGTACGCCATTGGGAAGAACATCATCATTAAGACATATCTATTATAATAAGCGATCTATTAAAATTTTGCCCTGCCAAAAACATGCATAAAACTTTATATATATTTTTTTTCTCGGTAATTACCTTCATATTTTTCGGTACTACAGGATGTAATCGAAGCGTTTCGTAAAATACTGCATGCGCGTATTGAAAAAGTTTTGTGTTTTCATAATTTGAAATCGGATCTTCTGACGTGAGCAAAGAATTAGCTTCTTTAACTAATTTTTCTTCAACGGAAGGGTCGATCATAAGATTATACATCATCCACGAGAGCGCCTAAAAAAATACCATACAAACTTAATTATACTTTTATAAAATAATTAAAAAGTATTGAACGCAAAAACATTATTACTTGTGCAGTTGTGTCACGTCCTAAATTATGCAAGATTAAGATTAATTATAATAAATAAATAATACATATAACTATGAAAGACGTACCAGCAATGATAAAATTTAATACAACATCTTTTAATTCTTTATCGGACAATTTTTCTCCGTTATCATGTTGTGCGTTCATAAATATATTAAGGATATCTCTGGGGTCATTTAATGCTTCCGGATTATTCCTATGGTTCTTAATTATATCATAAGCAAAAGTTGTTAAATAATCACACGCTTCACGCACTTTACGACCATCTTCTGTAAATAATTCTGTGAATTTCCAAAAAGGATTTGAGATTCGATCGTTCATTACTCTTTGCGCAAAATCAAATGCCATTGCAAATTTTACTGGTTCTTTTGGATTTTCCAAACATTTAAAGTCCAATCCGAATGTAATTCTGTAATATTAAATTTTATAAATAAACTTATTTTTTATTTTTTTTTTAAAAAAAAAAATAAGACTTACTTTCCGAAAGAATCCATTGTAAACCTAAAAAATAAATCTTGTAAATCAAACTTGTCACCAGTCCTTGCTAATTTATCCAAGGTATTTAATACGATCTCGGTTTCTTCTTTAAACACGACGCTAATAATCTCACGAAAATTTCTGCCGTTAAATAAATGACTCGATAATTTTCTTTGCATTTTCCATGCGTTTCTAAATTAGGAGATCAACAAAAGTGTTTCAAAATGTTACGATATATTAGGTGTAATAAGGAAAGAAAAAAAGTCGGTTTTTTTACCCATTAATATTGAAAATTCCATCCCCCAAGACATCATAAAGAATACTTTGTAAGATTGGCGATTTATGATAGTTCTCAAAATTCGCTGTACATTTATTATAAAAAGTAAGTTAATATGAAAATCATATAGTTTATACCTAAGCTGAGGCCTCTAATTCAATAATAATAAAATCATAGATTCGTCAACTTACTTTTCATAACGTGTTCGATGCATTCGGGATTATTAATTGTGATAACCCTACGCAAGCCTGGTAACGTAAACGTTCTAATATTAAAAGGCTATTAATCAATTGTCTCGGATATTTCTCGAACTTTTTTTTTCGCGCAATTATAACTTACGCATTCGGACCGTATTTTGTTAAAGTTTCGTTCATGAACATTAAGAGACCTTTATTATCTTTGTGAATATCTAACAAATTTCCAATGAGTGGATAACCTTTAGGACCATTAAGATCTGTCCTTGGTTTTGTACCAATACATCTATCCGGATATTTTATCAAGAGATAGAGCAAAATTCCCAGAAGGCATACGAAAATTGCTGTTATTACTTCCATTTTTATGATTTTTTTTTTTTAGTTATTCTCAAGAGAATCATTCTCGAGATCTTATATATCTGGGAATGTGATAACAATAGTACCAAATAAAGGATAATGAGAAATTTATTTATTATTGGCGTAAATTTAGATAATTTCACATTGATATGCATTCGACCATGAAAGAATTTTTGACCGTTACTAAATAGGAATTCCCGTATTTAGTAAATATTAATGGTTTAAGTCGCATCTATTACCGTTTCTTTGTTTATTTAAAGTAGATTAAAGAAATTTTTTTAATCATTAGTTATGCTATTGTAACCCAAATGCATTAATGTCCGAAATGCGCCAAATCGGAGTGAAAATTTTGACGTTAACGCATTTTGGTTACAACATTGCCGATCCAGGGTTTTTTTTTTATTTTGTTCAGCAACCACGGGCACAATTGTCGCCTCCGATATCAAGAACCAACCTCTTTCGTAAATGATATGTTGTGATGTTATCTCTGGTATTGTCGAACATTTAGAGTATTGATGGACATTAAAATGATCTTTCGCTCATTTCAGTCAATGAACTTCAATTTCTATTCAGGTTATTCATGAGAAATCCTTTCATATTGTTTGTACACTCAAATGACATGATTGTTGAATTTTCT